GGGCAGGGTCTTGCTTGTGTGGCCCTCTCCCCACACACACAGCCCTGTTGCTCAACATGGGGCCAGCCCTCAGATTGCACAGAGGATGCCATTGCCTCTACGTCTTGGATTCTGGAGATGGACCAAGGCATGTTGGGTCATCTCTTACTCCAGTTGATTCCCAGGGAAAGAAAGCAAGAGTGAGCTGCCTTTAACACCCACTTCTTGCTTCACTTTGATGAGCAGGACGGAGAGATATCTGGGAAAAGTGAAAATCCAGAGTAATGCCTGAAGGCTTTGCATTAGATTGGTGGGGGAGGGATCTGGCTCTAGCGTAACATTTTCCAAACTTTCCTGATAAAAATCACCTGGGTTGCTTATTAAATATACACATTATTGGGGGGTAGGTATCTGGGTTTAAAAAAAATATATTTTATTGATTTTTTACAGAGAGGAAGGGAGAAAGATAGAGAGCTAGAAACATCGATGAGAGAGAAACATCGATCAGCTGCCTCCTGCACACCCCCCACTGGGGACATGCCCACAACCAAGGTGCAGGCCCTTGACCGGAATCAAACCTGAGACCTTTCTGTCCGCAGGCCGACGCTCTATCCACTGAGCCAAACCGGTTTTGGCTAGGTATCTGGTTTTGTTTTTTTTTTTTAGTAAGCATTCCAAGCCATTCCTGTCTTCAGGCAAGTTTGGGAAACAGTTTATCTACTGTACCAAAAATAGCCTGTGAAGAGGAGTGCTTTTTTAAAAGTTTACTTTTGTGGATAATGCATCAATTAGTTTTCCTTGTTTGAAAATGTGTTAACGTTACAGGCACCCCTCCTTTGATTTCCTGTAACCACCCCAATCCCAGTCACCTCCCCCGCAGGAGGTGCCAGTAAGCAGTGTGTATCTCCCCAGACCTTTTCTTTCCACTAAATGGTGGTACAGGTTTCTGTTTTATTTTCCCTGAACAGGTTATCAGGTTGTATCTTTCCTTCTACAACTTGCTTCCCTTTTATTCCAAGCTAAGCCTTGGAGAACTATGTTCATTTTTGTTTGTTTTAAATCTGCTGCCGAATATTCCATAGCATGGAACTAGCAGGATTTCGCAGCTCCCCAAGGATGGACAGAGTAGGATATAGCAAGCTCTCATTACCTCCTGCTCCAGTGAGCATCTTGGTCCACTCTTCCTTGTGTACATTTGGGAATAAATACTGAGAAGCGAAGTTGCTGGGCTAATCCATGAATTTTCATGGATACTGTCCACGGTTATCTTTCAGAGTGGCTCTCCCGATTCACCTTTCCCCCAAGAGCACGTGGAGAGGTCCAGCTCTCCACCCAGGTGCAGCTATCTTGCAAAAGCGTATGGGCGTGTTGCCAAGTGGCAACACCCATCTTTCTCTGGCACTTCCTTTTGGGGATGAACAGGAAGACTGCTTCCTATCACAAAGCTTAGTCCCCAGGATAAAAACAGCCTGGCCCCAGACTGATGGAAAGGAGTGTGTGCAAAACAGAAAGGAGAAAAGCAGAGCTGACTCAGAGCCCTGTCAGAGAGGTGGTGCGCAGGGATGGCCGAGCCCTCCGCACAGAAGAAGGAGGTTGTGAGCAGGCCTCTCAAGGACCCCCAGTTTCACTGCTTTATGAGCCTGTGAACGTCCTTCACGGGCACCGGGCTGGGGTCTCTAGTTTTGTTTGAAAGCAAGAAGAGACTTGCCTGGGGTTTAGCCATAACCTTTGTCTTTCTTTAAATTGACTTTAAAAAGAAGCATCAATTTGATTGACTTATTTATGCATTCATTGGTTGGTTCTTGTATGTGCCCTGACCTGGGATCAAACCTGCAACTGTGGTGTATTGGAACAACGCTCTAACCGACTGAGCTACCCGGACAGGGCCATCACTCTTGTCTTTCTGCTGCTGCTCAGTTCCGTAATGAAGTGGTGAGACCAGTAGCCTGGAGCCCCCTCCCGGCTCTGCACTTGCCCATGAAACAAGCAGGCCAGGTGAAGAACTCTGATGCCCTGACAGGTCTTTGCCAATCTGAGAGCAAAATCAAGGAAAGTATCTCGAGTGCCCAGATGGCCTACTCTGCTGACAAGTCCCTGCTGTCTTCCTTTTAGTCGAATTGTTCAATTAGATTTGAAGGACTTGTCTGCTAACTGGGGCAAAAGCAACCCCAGCAGGAATCCAAGCCCACATCTGTGGAAACTTAAAGTCAGTCTCTCTCTCTCTCTCTCCCTCTCTCTCTCTCTCTCTCTCTCTCTCTCTCTCTCTCTCTCTCTCAACAGCCTTCACTCAAGCCTCTTGCTGGTCATCTTGATTTATTAGTACAGTGAGCCCTGGGCAGCTTGGACAGTGACCACACTGCCCAGTGCATGTGGCTGGGGCACACACCACTCTGACCAACTGCCCACTCAACTCTCCTGACACTTGGTTAAATTTTTACTCGCCAAAACCAGGACATGATTTTGCAAAAGGTCAGACAGCTCAGTAAGTGTTTGCCTAGCTTCAAGTTGCTCAAACCTCAAATTCCCTCCCCTCCACCCACTTCACTTTGAAGTTCGAAAGCAAGTTGATTAAATATACATTTTAGGGACCTTCCGATTTGCTTCTTAAACTAACAGAATTCTAAACCTTTTTTTTTTTTTAACGGAAGGATTTTTCAACTGTCAGCAGATATAACTGGAACCACATGTCAGCAGAGAGCAGGGGCTTTTCCTAGTTTTAGGATTTGTAAGTTCTTATTGAAACGGAAGTCGGCAAGGCAGGCAGTTGGGGGCCAGTGACAGCGCAAGCTCAGATCTCATTTTAATTAGAAAGTACAGATAGTGCCTGCCGAACCAAAGGCCTCCCAGCGTTCCCCTGCCTAGGCTAGCAAAGCTTTGGTTTATATCCTGCAAACCTCCGTGTCTGTAAATTACAGAGCTGGGATGTTGATTTTTAGATTACAGAGACTGCAGCCCAGCTTCCTCCCCTGTCTACCTCCTCAGCTAATCCCCCCATAAATGATTTTGTTTTCTTGGGGAAATATTTGCTCCCTTCCTCGTTGCAGAATAGATGGAGGATGTTCATGCTGAAAAGAGACAGGAAGGAAGGAAGGCCGGAGCGGGAGACATAAGATTAGATGTCAGCCACAGCAGGTTCATCTTTTTCTCCATTTGAACTTCTCACCTCTTGAGACTCAAAACCCTACCCTAGATCAGCGTCTGAGCTGCTCTGGTTGACAGTGGTTCACATGCATAATTTTCTCCCTGATGTGTTCTGCAAAGGATGGAATAGAAATATCAAATGAAAGACATTGCCTGACCCAGCTCTCCCCCACCCCCCTGTCTCTCCCCTGCCTGGTGTCATTTGAGCTCAGCGAGTCTCAAAAGAGGCCACGATTACCATGTCAGCATCTGGAAGGGCCCCCGCTGGGACTCAGAGCCCGACCCCTGGAGGAGGCAGCAGGGGGCAGACAGGAGGGCGCACATGCTCAGATGGTGGGCGCTCCAGCCTTGGGTCTTTCCATGAAGAGCTTGACTGCTGAGTGCTCTGCCTCCCTTGGCCCCAGGCTGCATGCCTGTGACAGGGCTGCTGCCCACTGTCCCTCCTCCGGCGTCACATTCCGGGCAGCTGGAGGTCACTTGCTCACCCTGCCAGGGCTGCTGCCACAAGCTGCCATTCGAGGGCAGACAAAGGGGGGATTTTCCCTTCCCCTGGGTTTATAGGCCCCTCAAATGCCTTACATTCCAGGAGCTGGGAGAGAGAGGAGGCTCCTGTGGTTTCTAATTAAACCCACAATTTAAATAACAATTCATGCTACCCCAGGGTTGAGAGAAATGCTAACCTGCCCCCTCCCAGAAGAGTCAGCTGGGTGGCCTGGCGGGGAGGTTGAGGAACTTGCCCTTTGCCAGATGTGTGACCAGAGGGATAGATGGTGATGGAAGTCACAGTGGATTTGTGTGGAGCTGGATGTTAAAAGGGAACTTGTTTGGTGGGTTCCTGTCCTTTCTCCTTTGATAAGTGAGCCACTCAAGGTTAGGATTTAAGAAATGGAAAGGAAAGTTGTCGTGTTTACACCTAGCCTCCAACTGAGATTTTTTTTTATCCTTCTCCAGGGAAAATGTGGTCTCCAAAGTGTTCAAATCTCAGATTCTCACAATCTCATGGGGTACCCCACCCTCCCACATACACACACACTCTCTCACTCTCTCTCTTTCTCTCTCTGTCTCTTTCCCGCCAGGTGACTGTCCATTTGTTGTAAAACTTTGCTATTTTCTGAAATATTAGACAAGTGAGGAGGCCAGGAAGGGCCCTGGGAGCAGAGGGGCTGGCCAAGAGTCTTAGTCTAGCCCCATCCCCCACTGGACCTCAGCTTCCCCATCCGTTACAGAAAGGCCTTTCCATGCGTTGCCTCCAAGGCCCTTTCTGGCCCAAGCAGTCTACCTGTCCATCCTGAGCCGCTTTTGTGTTTTCATTGGGCCCGTCTGGGGCCACAGTCATCTTTACACAGTTTGTTGAGCTCACCGAATTGTTGTCTGATTACCCAAGGCGTGGTTGTGTTCCAGATTTGGGGGAAAAGGAACGCTGAGTATAATTATCTCTACACAAGCTCTTCTGTGCCTCGGCCAGCACCAAGAACCTGTCAGCATTTCCAGGCTTTCTGCAATCCCCCTTCCAATTTTCTTCCATCCCATTCCATTATATTGAGCAATTCACATTCCCAAAGACACCCTCCGGGTTCTTGCCTCCGTGCTTCTCTACCCGGTTGCCCTTCTGATCTCATTTCACCTTGCCCAGAGCCGGCCGTGCTGCATGTACAGGCTCAGAGGCCCCTCTCTTGTGATGGAGCACTGCCAGGGAGGGTCCCTTAGTCACCCCTGCAAGCACTGGAGCTTCCTGAGGATAAGCCCCAGCTCTGGTTCCAGCCTCCCCCTGCACCTCCTTGCTGGTGTGGTGCAGGCTCCGTTTGTGTGTGTTGGAGCAGAGCCTGGCCGTGAAGCAGAAAGCCAAAGGTGGACTCACCCTCGCATCTTCTTCCCTGCAGGTGATTATCGCTGATGACTACTCAGATCCCTTTGATGCCAAGAATGATCTCAAGAGTAAAGCGGGAAAGGGAGAGAGTGCTGGCTACATGGAGCCCTACGAGGCCCAGAGGATCATGACAGGTAAGCAGGGCAGTTGGCACAAGGACTTGCACTCAGCAAGGAGGCAGAGAGCCCGTTCCTGGACACATGGATGGTCCCCAGCCAGCCTCAGCAGGGGAAGGAAGGTTTGTGGTTTCAAGGTGGTAGTTGGCAGGCTGGTGTGTTTAATCTTCACCACAACCTCCCAGTTCATGTTCGCCTACATCAGGAAGAACCTGGCAGGGCACAGTAAAAGGCCAGTCACTAGGGGGCCAAGTACAGTAACCAAGATAGGGACCGAGAAGTAACTGGGGAGAAGAGGGGCAAGTTCTATTGGGAATTTCTGACTGAAGAAAGATACAGCATTTGAGGTAAAAAAAAAAAAAAAAAAAAAGCTTAAGTTGGAGCTTTCCAGCATCCAAGGCAATAAAAGAAGCAAGCTGGGTCACTTTCTTTCATTTCCTAGTAGGAGGGGGAAGACTAGATCATTGCAGACAAAATTATCCCTGTCCAAATATGAGGAAATCCTCGTTGAGGGGCTGTGGAAGCAGCCTAAAGAGCCCTTGCTCTCCACCTGGTAGGTTTATCGGAAATAGACTCTCCCCCTCGACCCCCCCCCCCCCCGACCCCCGTGACTATTTTATATTGGCCCTTAATGACAAAACCTTGTCAAAACAATTGCTTGGGGCCCAAAAGAATGTGGCCAGGTGGCCAGTATCCTGAGGGCCTCTTGACTAGCCAGGATAATGCCCAGAGCATCTTAAGAGAATGATCTGATATCGGCCACCACAGACAGGTGGTTATCATCCATCACACACACGCACGCACGCACGCATGCACGCACACATGTCCTCCTGGCCCAGAGGACCAGTGCAAAGACAGAAGAGTTCCTGTGAGGATTGGAGCAGGTTGGGAGCGGCCCCTAATTTTGAGGCCCAGTGAACTGGTGTTCTGTATGTCTTTGAGGACTTTCACATTATTTGTCCTGAGTTAGAAGAAGGAAGGGAAAGGAGGTGACATTTACAGAGCACTTAGTGTATGTGGGGCCTGTGCAGACTGTAGGACAGCTGCCTTGTGCTTTACTGTTCATGGAAAGTGATTCTCTAGCCCTCAGTGTATCCCCCAGAGTGCCGGGCCACCTCTCACACTCCCATTTTCCTCTTCTCTCCTGGGAAAGCAGCCTCTGGGGAGCAGGAAGGGGGCAAGAGACAGCTGAGTGTGCATTTGAGTGGACCCTCCGAGGGTCCTAAGGGAGTCTCCAGGCTCAGGGAACAGGTCTACTGGTGGAGCCTTCACCTCAGCACTGCAGTAACACCTGCTCCTGCTGTCATATCCTATCACCTCCCATGTACACCCCCACTGGGCTCAGTGAAACGCCAGCTCGGTGGCAGCACTGTGGAGAGCTTTGGCCCTTCAGCTCCGGCCAGTCTTGCATCCAGCAGGCATCAGCCCAGGCTTACAGAAGTGACTTTGGACGCTGGCACATTCATATGTCAGGGTCAGCAAAGGATCTTCAAGGTCATCCAAACCCAACCGCCTCATTTAGCAGAAAGGAAAACTGAGTTCAGGGAAGGAGAGGGACTTGCCCAAGGACACATAGTAAGTTGGAGGCAGACTGCCAAGTATGGCCTGGCCTTGGCAGGGCGGTCTTTGGGGTGGAGTACGGGAGGAAGTGTAGTGTTTGTGTTTGACGCTGGGGTATCCGGGACACGAGGAAATGGCAGGAGCCATCGGAGGCTGGCTCCCAGGCTCTGGTCTGGGCCCTTTGACATACACACCTCACCATTTCCCTGCAAAGGAGGTGCTGTCTCATTTTACAGGGGAGGGAAACTGAGGACAAGTCACTTCCCTCAGTTTCACAAATAGAAGTGAGGGGCTTCGACCCATATCTACAGAACATGGGGGCAGGGAGCTGAAGCGGGGAGGGGACATTTGCCAGGCTGGCCTGTGCTAGTAAGTCCTAGTGCTCCTTTTCATCTTGCTTGGCCCATCTCTCGAGGTGAAATTCTGGTCTTGATCTCTTCCATGCCATCTGGCCTCAGTTTCCTCATGTATAAAGTGAAGAGGAAGAATCAGAGCACTCTGGTTTCCTTCCTGCCCTAGTGTCTATGTACTTGGCACCCTCAAGCCAAATCTATGATTGAGCCGGCAGAATCAGGCAGCCTCCTTCCAAAGCCATGCCCTGCATCCCATTCTTCCCCTCTTCACACCAGTCTTCATCCCAGACTTAAGGGCCCCCGATGCACAGAGACCCGCTAATGTATAGGAAAGGTGCTGGGCTCTTAGGTCAGCGTGGGTACCTGGGTGGGTGAGGAGGCTTAGCCTATTGAGGGCTGCAGTGTCCTCTTTATAAAGTAGGGCACACAACACTGACATAGCCTCAACTGGAACAAGTAAGCATTGTGGGGGTTTTTAAATAAATTTTTAAAATATATTTTTATTGATTTCAGAGAGGAAGGGAGAAAGAGAGAGATAGAAACAACGATAAGAGAGAATCATTGATCAGCTGCCTCCTGCATGCTCCCTACTAGGGATTGAGCCCGCAACCCAGGCATGTGCCCTTGACTGGAACTGAACCCGGAACCCTTTAGTATGCAGAGCAACACTCTAGCCACTGAGCCAAACCAGCCAGGGCAACGAGCGAGCTTTGCACATGGGCATGAGATTGTTGTTATTGGGGAGCAGAGGGCCTGTTGGTCCTTTGCTTGGAATTAAGTGATGTCGAGTTCTCTGACCAGGCCCTGGCCAACTGCAGGGGAGTGGCCGAAACCACAGGACAGTGGAGGAGGTGGTCCTTAGGCCCTCCGCAGGGCACCTGGGCAGCTGCCTGGAGCCCTTGCTGTACCCTGTTGTGTTAGAGACTAGATATGTAGCCTGGGCAGACACTGTCACTGCCCCCAGGAACTTCCATAAAGCAGGGTGACAGGCCTAGATCCAGGTACGCCAAGGTGAGCAGGTGAATCTCCAGAAAAATGGAGTTTGGGCCATCCAAATGGGGTGGGGGCGGGGGCGGGGGTGGAGGCCGAGGCGGTGGTGATGAGAGCTGGCTTGAGCAAAGGCATGAGGTATGGGATCTTTTTGCTGGAGAGGAGTAGCCAGAGATGAGGCTTTTGATAGGATAGAATAATGATAGAAAAAAAAGTAATGATAATGATAGGGCAAGAGCTTCTAAAGATTAATTGGATCATGAAGCCCTAGTTTACCTAAAACCATAGAATAATTCTCAACTAGGATCCTTTCTCCTGAGGTCTTCAGACCCATTTTACAGATGGGAATACTGAGACACAGAAAGGTTAAGTAATCAGGAAAAGCACACCCTCTGGAGCCTGCAGCTAAAACATTCTTACATCTGTCCTCTCCCCAAAAGATCTCCAGAAATAACTGGCAATTTAGCTGTTACTTAGACCACCCTTTTTTTTTTTTTAAAGAAATTTTTATTGATTTTTTTTTACAGAGAGGGAGAGGGATAGAAAGTCAGAAACATAGATGAGAGAGAAATATCAATCAGCTGCCTCCTGCATGCGCCCCCCCCCCCCCCCCCCACTGGGGACGTGCCCACAACTGACATACATGCCCTTCACCAGAATCGAACCTGGGATCCTTCAGTCCGCAGGCCGACTCTCTATCCACTGAGCCAAACCGGTTTCGGCTAGACCCCCTCTTTATGTGTGACACCCCACCCCCATCATACCTTATAAAATTGTGCAAAGTATCATCTCACAGGATGATTCACACACAGATTAATTGAAAGCATTTTCCCATAATTTTTAATATTATAAGCAATTACACATTAAGAAGTCCTTAGCATGTTTTTATTATTAAGTCAAGTTCATGGCATAACAAGAGGAAATTAAAGGAAAGCCGTTCACCCAGAACCTGCTACCCTGACGGGGCTGTTTTCCTTTCTCACAATTTCTGCCCTTTATAAAACTCCGGGTAAAGTTAGTCATCAAATTTAAGATGGGGGGGGGGGGGGGCATCTTTTTGTATCTTCTTGTTCTCTGTCATAGTCTCTTCTAGCAGCAGCAGGCTTTCTGAGAAAATGGTGGTGTGTATCATGTTGAGGTGTCTGTTAGAATTGTGGCCTGTTGCAGGAGGCAGGAAATGTGGGTTCTAGCTCTGGTTCTGCCTTGGTTTGCTGGGTGTCCTGAGGCAAGTTGCTTTCCCTCTCTGAGTCTTACTTTTCTTCCTCATCTGAAAAGTCAGATTTGCCTTCTTCCTTGGGTGCCATGACGGTCTTTGTAAATCCTCCAGTTCCCTGTTTCAAGGTCAGAACTGTACCTCTTCCTGCTCCATCCCCACCGCCGCCTCATGGTGCCATCCCAGGTCTTGCAGGTGGTGAGGAAGAGCTGGTCCTGGCACCCTCCTAGGAGCATGCAAGCTGCCTTCTTGCAGGACAGACAGTGCTGGGAGCTGCAGGTTTGCACCCATCTTCACAGGCAGGCTCCAGAGGCCCTTCCTAGAGCTCCTGTTTGAATTTGGAATAAAGCCCCAAAGACCACCAAATGCTTCTCAGAGAAGGCGGGGGAGGGAGGGTGTTCTTGAGTCTTGACTGGGTTTCAGAGAGGTCATCTCTGGATTGATGATGATTCTGCCTTGCTCGTGTGTTTGGCATTACCTCTGCCTCCCTGCTTCAAGGCTGTGCTGTTCTCTGGTCCCGGTAGCTGGGAAAGTGAACTGCCTTTCTTTTCTTTTTTTAAAAAATATTTTTTATTGATTTCAAAGAGGAATGAGAGGGAGAGAGAGAAAGAAATCTCAATGATGAGGGAGTGATCAATCGGCCGCCTCCCGCACGCCCCTTATGGGGATCAAGCCCGCAACTCGGGCATGTACCCTGACCAGGAATTGAACCATAATCTGGTTCCTGGGTTGACTCTCAACCACTGAACCACACCAGCTGGGCAAAGGGCCTTTCTCTCTGGGTCCTGAGTCCACACCCTCCCCAGCTCCTCACTGTCTGTGGGCTCTGCTCCCAGAATGTCCATGCACTGGCCTCTTCCTCACCTGGCCTGCTTTGTCTGCAGAGCTCTGCTCCCCAAACC